ATTTAAATTTAGATAAGGTAAGCAACTATTGATGAGGTAACTGGGACATGTACCTTTTACCCCACCCCTTGCACACACGCATACTCTTTCCTACTCTAACCAAACGAAGTTATATATATATTTTATTTACTTATTAATGTCTTTCTTTTTATTATATATTTAGGTTTTTTTATTTTATTTCATATGGAGAACCTCATAATTAAATGTCCTAAAGTTTAAAAAAAATATCAAAATGATAAGCAACCAACATAAAGACATGCACCAATTTTCTTCATTACAAAGCAACTAACTAGCCAACATCAAAGTAAAAAAACAGAGTATGAAGAAACAATATTAATGGTTGTGATGTTCTAGAAAACAATTTTAAATTTTTCTTTTTTAATGCAAAGGAACACTTTGCAGGTTTCACAATAGCTATAGGATCTTGATTCCTGCTTTTTTTTTAAGAACAAACTTCACATCCCGTCCTAGATAGGATAATGATAGGAAATGATAATAATAGAATGATTATTGTTTAAATGAATGTTTTCTAATATTTGTAACAAATCTACTTGAAAGAGAATTTGAAACAAGTGAAATATTTACATTTTGATGATTATTCCAATAGGACAACAAAGATGGTAAACAATAGTAACCCATTAAAGTATTAATACCTAAGAATACAAATAACTCATTCATTGAAATTGCAGTTTTTTGTGTTTTTGGTTGATATAAAAATTGCTTTTAAATAAAATTTTGTCTCACAACAATATCAAAGAACTTGATATAAGAGACAAATATTCTTTCTCGTCATGGCAATCAATAAAATGTTAACTGACAGGCCCTTCTGGTAACATAAAAGCATAAAAATGTTGATTTAAGTTTTTTTTTTTTTTCATCCACTACTGTTTTTCATTAATATTGAATTCTTGGGAATGAGCTATATTACTTTTGGTATTTAAAACAGTTACATTTTCATTTAATGTTCAAGCACAAACACTTTTTCATACATTAATATAAAGTCTTCCTCTATAGGTACATTATTGATTTCAAAGTCAATAATATCTTCATCACTCAATATCTGTATCAGTTGGATTATCTAAAGGTATTTCTTCTGCAGCAGCGTACCTTTTTTTAAACATTTTTATTGATTATTAGTTTCTAAAAACAATAACAGTTTCTTGAAATTTGAAGAGTAAAATAAAACAAATCTTTAAAATTAAAAATTGATGACAGAAAAAAATTACTTAAAAAACGCTGTTGGGACATTAAAGTCACAGTCCTTTTTTATCAATTGTCAATATTTTAAATTTTATAAAGTTAAAAACAAGTCTGTAAATTTTTGTTACAAACCACAGCGTTTTAGCAACATTAAGTACCAAAATCTAAAATGATTTGAGATAAAAGAAAATAAGTTCGTTGGATATATATGTTTTTCATCGGTTGTAAAATAATAGACAAGATAGACAGATTTTAAATGATTAACAGATGGAACTATAGCTTATAAATTAAAGTTTATCTGTTGGGATTCCTATGTCCCGTCGGTATCCAAAGGATTAAAAATGTAATATTAAATTTAATTATTTAATAAAAGTTGGGAAGAAAATAAACATTCCATAATAGCATTTATTTAACATTTATTTAACTCCTTTTGCAGTAATTAATAATATTGCGGTTGTTTAAAACAGCTAATTTTTTTATTTTTAAAAATAAAATAAAAATTAAGAGAATTTTATGACGTCTAATTCACATTATGCTAATGCGTTAAGTACTTTTTATTTAAAAAAAAAGGCCTGGTACCTGGTATATATATATATATATATATATATATATATATATATATATATATATATATATATATATATATATATATATATATATATATATATATATATATATATATAAATATATATATATATATATATATATATATATATATATATATATATATATATATATATATATATATATATATATAGTCTTGGAAAAAAGTTTAAGACCACTTGCAAAAAACTAAAAATTTGATGAAAAAATTATTGCAGTACAAAAAAATTAGTTCAAAAATAAATGCATTAAATTAATGTCAACAGCAGCTAAAATCAAAAGTAGCACCAAGTTATAGCACCAAAACTATAAAAAGTACAAAACAATATCAAAACACTAGTTTGTTGAATTTCTTGTTATATATACAGCTAAGGTATTTAAGAAATTCAAACTGGTTGTTTGAATTTCTTAAATACCTTAGCTGTATGGCATGTTGTAGAGTCCTGCATAAAGTGAGTGCATTGCAAGATTGTCAAAAAGTTGGGTAGTTTTGACTTTAAGATACGCAAATATCTGGCAGCATTATTTATCGCACAGCTACCATTTCCACTGAAACAACCCTAAATCATAACAGACGGTGGATGTTTCATCATTTTCAAAGTATATTTGTCATTATAACGTTTTTGGCTTGGTCTTCTAACATGTTTTGCAGTTATCCAAACTGCTCAAAGGTAGATCATCTGACCAGAGAACCTTCATCCAATTTTCTTATGTCCAATCTTGATATTTCAGAACAAACTTCAATCTTTTTTCTTTCATTTCTGGTGTCAATCTTGGTTTCTTTGCTGGACAATAGGGCTTGAGGCCACATTCTATCAACCTATTTCTTATAGTTCTGGAAGAAACATTTATATTGCTGACATCGATGAGCATTTTCCAAACAGTCGCTGAACTAATAAATTTGTAACTATTCTGGGAATGCTTTGATTTTTTCTTGGGGTGGTCTTCTTTGGATGCCTTGTCTGCTTGTCAGTGAATGATTTTGTTTTGTTGAAACGTTTTATTGACTGTTTACAGCAGTTTTAGAAGTCTTTAACAATGCTGCAGTCTCTCTTTGGCATCGCCCAGCTCGTCTGTACGCGACAATCTGTGCCCGTTTTTTTGGTGACAAATTTTGCTTTGCCCATTTCTTATGCAATCTTAAATACAAGAACAAGGTGCGTTTTTAAATAGAAATAATACGAAAGAAGGAAAAAACAGACATTTTATTTTATAATACATACTATTTTCATTATTATTACGCTCTTTAACATTTGTCAATCAAAGAATACAAGAGATTACGCTCTTTAACATTACACACACAAGCTCATGATTTACAAAAAATACTGTAAATATAAAAAAATTTATTTAAAGTTGTTTATATAATTCAATTCTTTTGCTTAACCGAAATAGTTACAGAAATTGACCAGCGATAAATGGGAAAATGTGTTAACTAGCTATGGCTGCCAAATAAAAACTTATACACGCTCAATTTTATTTTAGGGACCAAAGTATAGCATTTATATACGTGGTGGTCTTAAACTTTTTTCCAAGACTGTATATATATATACATATATATATATATATATATATATATATATATATATATATATATATATATATATATATATATATATATATATATATATATATATATATATATATATATATATATATATATATGTATATGTATATATATATATATATATATATATATATATATATATATATATATATATATATATATATGTATATATATATGTATATATATATGTATATATATATATATATATATATATATATATATATATATATATATATATATATATATATATATATATATATATATATACACGCATACACACACACATATACGTAAAAAGATAATGTATTATTATGGTTTAATAATAATAATAATAATAATAATACAAATGCTCTTGTGCGTTTAAGAGTCCTTGATACCATTAAATGATAGAGCAATATTTATTTATTTATATAAAATGAATGAAAGCATCTTTTGATGGAACTCTGAGTTTCATGCCTTTCAGCAATCATCAGCCATTGTGTATAACTTGTAAAGTAAAAACTGTTTAAAAAATTCAAAATAAAATTACGGTGGAACGAGTTTTGATGTTACAAAAACAAAACAAAACAAAAAGACGTCAAAGATTTTAGTTCCTGGTGTCAAATAAGGGAAGTAAAAATTTCTTTGAATGCCAGCACTTTAATATTATTTCATACCTTTTACGCAGTTTCACTTATACCAAGTTTATTTCAGTTTAAATGAAACTGCGTTTAAATTAAGATATGTCAACCATCTTAAGTCTTTCAATGTACCCAAATATAAAAAAGACACTAAACTTTCTAAAGAAATATAGAAACTAAAATTTTAAAAATATAAAACCTGTGTTACTAATTATACACAATAGCTGATGATTGCCGAAAAGCATGAAACTTAGAGTTCCATCAAAAGTTGTTTTTATTCATTTTATATAAATAAATAAATAAATATTGCTCTATTATTTAATAGTATTGAGGACTCTTAAACGCACAAGAGCATTTGTATTATTATTATCATACAATTATAACACATTATCTATTTATGTATATGTATATATATATATATATATATATATATATATATATATATATATATATATATATATATTATATATATATATATATATATATACCACTTGTATTAAAAAAACAGCTCTTAGCTTGTCTAAACTGACAAAATTAAGGTTAGATTATAACAAAATGCAATAGTTTAAAAGTGTTAAAAAAATATTGTAATGTCAGTTTAGATAAAAATGATAAGTATGGTTGTTGTGGCCCCATTGGCCATAGTGAGGTGAATAAATAATATTCAAGGGACAGACCCTACTTGATATTTATGAAATAGATTTTTTGTGCATTTTGTAGAGAAGGTACTAAAATTGGTACTGAGAATTGAGTATTTTGATTAGTATTAGTTTCAAATACTGAAATATAATTAGGCTTTGTGTATGTTATTCATTTCCATAAAAACATTCAACTGACAGGTTTTCAGAGCAGTTTTGTAACTATTGAGGACAATTTCAGTCTTTTAAAAATAATTCTTAACATTGATTTTAATTTTTAACTAAATAATGCAAATATTAAAATCTACTTCAATAGACAAATTACTAAATTTTCTTTCATATATTTTAAAGTACGTATTAAATTTTATGCTGTAGGTAATACTATAAAATAATTTGATGTTATAATGTTTATAAGAATACAAAAAATCCTTGAAATGATTTGGTGATTATGTCATTGCCGAAATTCTCCATTCAGAATCATCAAAACGGTACAATCAATAAAAATATACAGAAGTTACCAGAAAAATATTTTTATGATGAAGAAGTTTATAGTTTAAATTTTCCTAGTGTCTCAAATGACCTCATAGTTAAATTACAAGAAGATATGCAAAATCGTTCACGTGTCACCCAGAAAGTATTAAATAATGAAGACAAATGTTTGTTTGGAGAAAAAAGCGCATTCATTTATATAGATGTAAAAGACAGTGACACATTGCAGAAGCTGGCTCTCATGTTTAATTGTAAAGTAAGTTTTTTTATTGTTATTGTATTTTTTAATTATTTGTATATTTTATTATTTCTTATCATTTAAGTAAGAAAAATATTATATTTTTATAAAAGTATAAATAACTTAAGTATGCATTTTTTATAATAAATTATCTAAGTATGAGTTTTTTAGTATAATTATGTAAGTGTACATTTTTAATAAAAGATGTTATTTTATAAATAAAAGAATTATTTCGATTTTATGAACGAAGACTTATTAAGACAACAATAGTCTCTTAAATTAAATAAATTTAGAATTAAATAACTTTGATCTTGAATAATGTTTTTATATCATTGAAGCGCTTATAAATCAAGTAACAAATCACTGCTAGTGATCTTTTATATAAAGTATTAATGAATATATATATATATATATATATATATATATATATATATATATATATATATATATATATATATATATATATATATATAGTTTTTTTTATTTGCATATTCATATATTTTTTATGATAAAAACATTTTTAAAATTTAAATATTACTCCTTTACTATCTGCAAATAAATGTATTAATTTATTTGCAGATAGTAAAGGAGTATTATTTAATCGTAGAATGAAATGCTTCTAAAAAGAGAAAAATTATCACTTTTTTGTAATGCCTAATTATTTACTAGCGTGTGTTTATATTGAAATTGCTATTTTTAAATTAGTAAAAAAAAAAACATTATAATTAAGTTTAAATGTGAATATTTATTAAACAATTATTAGAAGTAACCTATTACTTTATTTAAAAGGGTTCTCCATAATATTCTTAAAACATCAGTAAAGATAAAAATTTAAAATTTGTTCCAAACGTAATTGAAAACTAGATTTAAATAAAGCATTTTAGTTAAGTTTTATTTTAGTTTTGTTTTATTTTAGTTAAGTTTTATTTTAGTTAAGTTTTATATTAATTGAGTTTTATTTTAATTGAGTTATGTTTCTATTTTTTTGTGTTTTAGTTTTAGTTAGGTTCTTTTTATTTTCTCTTAGTAAGATTTCTTTTCTTTTTTTAAATAAATTTTTTTTTTGGTCTTCAAGTCTCAATAAGTTTTTTCATTTTTAAAATGTTCAAATTTTCAAAATATGTTAAAATATGTTAAAATATGTTAAGGACTTTCTTGATAAAACTTCTATGATAAAAGTCTTTAGAACTTTTATGATAAAATGTAAGATTTAATAAACTGAGAACGATAGTGCCAGACCTTTTTGCTGTCAGAAAGCATCTTTTTGCATTGATTATAACAAAAATAATTTATTATTTTCAAGAGTGTTGTTCTTGTGCCAAAGATGTAAAAAAAGATTATGAATAAAAATATTAGCTGCACAAGAAGGTGAAAATTATGGGATAGAAGAAGGCTTGATTTAAAACCAACAAAAGGAATAAAAGTCTCCTCCTCATCTCCAAGTCTGAATCTCACTATTTTTAGTGTTGGAGGCGCAACCATCCTAGAGGCATCAGCCTTAGGATGGTCACTAAGAAACTTGTGAAAGGAAAGACGCTTTGAAGAAGTCTTGAAAGGCTTACAATAAAGTCTGGATGCTGGTTTGAGCCTGCATCATAGTGTATCTGGCTAAGTTTTCAAAATTTTTGAATCCTTAATTAATGGGATCCCAAACTTGGGAGTTTGGGATCTGCTCATCATATTCTTACTCCTGATCAATTTTCTACCTCTATAAATTTCTTATCCTTTCTTGTATAAAATATTGTTGTCAAACAGGCCTTGTTTTAAATAACAAATGCTTAACGCATTAGCTTAATGTGAATTTGATGTCATAAAATTCTCTTTAATTTTTAATTTTTAAAGATATCAAAACTACAGCAATATAATAATTTCCGCCAAACGCAATCATTAAAAAAAATAACTCAATTAACAAAAAACAATTAAGAAATGTTAAATGGAAATGTTTATTTTCTTTAAATTTTTTTTATTATTAAATAATCAAAATAAACATTAAATTTTTAAAAATGTTTAATATAAATTTTTTTTTTTTCTACATTTATATAAGTACATTAAAAATTAATTTATTATTTAAAATGTTAAATTTTTTTTTTTTATTACTATAACTTATTTTTTAATTTAAAAGCTACTAAAAAACAATTTTTTTTTAAAAAAAGTTAGCAAGTAAAAAATTAAAAAATTAATTTTTAATATATTTACTTCACCAGCGATTTGTATTTGTTAACAGCAAGTTTGTACGTTCAAAATGTATGTATTATGCAAATTTTTGATGCAGCCTCAGAGTTTGTCTACAATTTTTAGTATAAAAAAATAACAAAAATAAAAATAATATAGGACAGAAACTTTCAATAATTTCGTTATAATCTTTAACCGACCAAAGACTGTGGTTTCCAAGAATTACAGCACAATCAGCGAGTGCTTCGTGACTCAAAAAGAGTCTTTTATCTGATAAAATGTTTGTGACAGTGCTATATGTCCTTTCAACTTGTGAATTTAAAGCAGATATACTCATAGCTAATGAAACAAGGCAACATACATTTTTTAAATTTAATAAAATATTTTTGAAAAATAACTTTCCACAAACTGCGCGCTGGGTGACAGTCAAATTCAGTTTTGACTAGCCACTTTAGTTTTTTCCATTCTCTTAATGCGGCTCTTTAAAAATTAATGCTTTTTAATGGCGTTTTTAAATGATTGTCAAGACGGTTGATTTCCGGCACACCTGATTCTGGGTCTTCATATACCCAAAGTCTTGAATCAATAAATTTCATACTTCTAAAAAGTATAAATTCTCTTGAGTAGTCTTTAAATCTACTCTACAACAACAAAGATGTTTTGAAAAAATTGTTTGTTTGACAAATTTCATTAATTGTTTCATCGTAAACAAAACTATCCATTTCTAATACTACATTGATATACGTATGATTTTTAACGTGCCTTTGTTGTTGTTTTTTAAACATCTTCGCTTCCAACAAGGCTCTAAGCAACCACTAATTGGTGTTGGAAGTTACTGGAAGAGAAAAGATGAAGATTGTAGAGCAAGATAACAATTAACAGTTTATTGCCAGCCTTAGTAAATGAACCTTCTACATCATTTTTATCCATGACCACGTAGCGGTTTATAAAACTCTCAATAAATTCATCATTTTTTCCAATCGTTTGAATTTTATCTTCTATCTCCAATAGAGTTCAATTTATAACTGTTGGAATTTCATAAGCCAATAACTCATTAGTTTCAAATATTTTTGATGCTGGAACAATTACATCTAAACAGTCTATGTACAAACCAACTTTGCAAAGGAAGGAATGGCACTTGAATGATTTTAATAACCCCTTTACTTTTGCAACAGTTTTAATATTTGTCTGCTTGCTTGCATAATTTTAGTATGCCATAATAAAAGTTGGCCATGTTTCTAACAGACGGCAAACTCCTTTTCTCCTATGTCTGACAAACCTTGTTCCTGTAATTTTTGGTAAATTATACCAAGGCATTTTTAAGCTGCATCAACTTCCGCTTTTAATTTACCAGAGTTCCTTAAAAGATAGTAGTTAACAATATAAAAGTTGTTAATTTTTGTAAAATCAGTGGTTTCTTTAAATGCGTCTTTCACTGCCAATTCAACTCTATGATTAATGCAATGGATTTTTATCAACCATGGGTGACTCTGCTGCAATTGCGTCTTGTTAGTATAATGTTCAGAACTTATTTTAAATAATGATGCATCTGATTCAAATATGCTGTTTATACCATTAGTTACTGAGTTTGAGTCACTGCCACCAGAGTGACATGTCGAGCAACTCTGTGACCATGTAAACCGGTATACTATTTCTTTCCGTTTAAATTAAAACCAGTTCTTTTACTCAGCCCATTTTTCTTGCTTGACTATCGTCACTAAGAATAGAAAAAAAGTTGCACTATTTAAGGTTTTCAGCAGATTTTTCATGTACGGAGTCAGAGCAACATTTAATCATTTCTCGGCCAGTATGACTATTCTCATTTGATTTAATTAAGCTTGCTCCAGTTATTTTTGCACACTTCACCTTAAATAAAAATGTTAAAAGCATCGATTAAAAAAATAGAACTTGTAAACATATACAGGTAGAAAAATAAAACAATTAGGGTAGATTAGGGTAATATGAGTAACTTGATAATATTACAGGGTGTCTGCCAGATCAGGGGAAACAGGGTAGAGTCAGGGAGTTCAGATATCTGCAAAAAAATCAGAGGATTATCGCGGAAATAAGGTTAAATTTTAGAAAAATCAGGGAAAAATCAGGGAAAATTGCTCTTCATCAAACTTACATAACTTAAATAAGTTGTATATGGTACACGTAATATAAAAGTTTATTTGGCAGATAGTTTTATGAACTTGTCATGATATATTTAATGTGGATTGTGTTATTGTTTATATTTTTGCAGTTGAAGAGCATTTTTCTAAACGAATCTAGGTCAATTTTTGTGAAATTGAGTTTGGGTAACTTTAAATTAAATCAGGGAAATTACCCAGTGTTTTTAATTAAAATTATCTAGTTTAAAGTCCTAAAATTACAGCGGTTTTAATTGCTTTTTGAATAAAAACAAAACATAGCAAAAAAATTTAATATTTTAACACAAAATATTTTTAAGTTAAATTCAAAAAATTTGTAATTTTATCGTTTTCATGATTTGAGTTATTAAAATTGAAAAAATAACAGACTATCTGTTTGTTTTATTTTTGTTTTAATCAGAAATGGCTTAAAATTTGATTTTTTAATGATTTATATAATAAATTTTTTTGATAACAAATCATTACATTCCACAAATTCGTTCTAATTGTTTTATTGTTATTTCTGGGTAATATGAGCACTTGTGCTACTTTTTTAAAACCTCTGAGTTTTAAAGAAAAAAATTTTGGGTGTCCAATATCTAAATAGATTGTATGTAGTGATCCCTAAAAGTTGTTTATTTAAAAAAATTTTGGATTAAGCATAATTAATTTAGAAAAAAATTCAATTTTTGCTTAAGGTGCCCTAATCTACCC